GATAAAATCCATAGAAATAAAAGAACATGGTTGTTTTAGAAGATAATGGTTGAATAAGTCTATAAGGTTAATGACCATGAGTTTTTAATCTTAAGCAAATATTACAAGGTTATAAAAAATCTTTAACTATCTTCCATATTTAGGGCCACCAAAAATCTCTAGATATTAGTTCTAAGATCTTAATATATCCAAAATATCTTGCTACTAGAAAATCATGATGAGCTTGAAAATCACAAAATTAAACTTTAACTTTTAGAACATATAATTACTTCTTAAAATATAATAGATTTTTTTCAATTCAAACTTAAAGTATTATGAGAATTTGAAAGAATTTTCTTAATATTACAAATAAGAGGATGAAAAGACATACTTGACTAAATTTACATAATAAAAGTTAAATCAATAATTAGTATTGATTTCATTGCTTAAAGATGAAGATACTCTAGCTTTAAGAAAATTGTCCATTGTTGATCAAAAGCATTATTTCTTTCTTTTGGTGCAAGGTAAGCTTGTCTAAAGAGTGCGTCTAATAAACCTTATTTTTTTCCTAGTCAATTAGTGATCTTGAATTCAAAAATTGAAGAGAACATATTCCAGTGAACTTGATGACAATTTAAAATATAAGCTGACATAAAATGCTCAAAATTCTTTTGATCTATATATACAATGACTAGATTAAGAGTGCCTTCTAGATAATAGCACTATTCTTGAAACAAATCTACAATTACAAGAAGTTCTTTGTTGTAGATCTCATCATTGATTTCAATTGCTGAAAATTTTTTGAAATGAAAATCTACTAGCTGAAGTTTATCATTTATTCCTATTTGTAATAATACGCCATTCAAAACAAGGTCTGATGCATATGTTTCCATAAAAAATGGCATAAAAAAGTCGACACAATATAAGATTGGTGCAAGAATAAAGACTATCTTCAAAGCTTCAAATACTTCTTTTGCCTCTTGATTCCATTAAAGTTTGTCTTCACAAGTCAAACATGTAATTAGAGTTACAACTTGAAAGAAGTATTTAATGAAGATTCAATAGTAGTTGGCAAATTTCAAAAAGTATTGGATATCTCTTACCATTTTTGAAGTCTTCTAATCTATAATAGTTTGAACTTTCTTAAGATCCATTATAAGTCCATCATTTAAAATGATGTATCCTAAGAGATTAACTTAAGTAGTATAAAATACATATTTTTCTATCTTAGCATAGAATTTTACATTTTTTAATTTTTGTAACACAGAATAAATATGAAGTTTATATTCTTCTATATTTTTAGTATAAATTAAGATGTCATTTAGATAATAGACAACAAAATTATCCAAAAACTCTCAAAAAATATCATTTATTAGATATTAAAAAGTTTTTGGGATATTTATAAGTCTAAAAGGTAAGCTATTATATTCAAAATGTCTATACCTAGTTCAAAATGTAGTCTTATATTTATTTTCTTTTTTAATGGATACCAGATTGTATGCCTCTCATAGATTTATTTTTGTATAGATCTTAGATTGATTCAATTCATCAAAAAGTCCAAATATCAAAGATAGTGGATATCTATTCTTAATGGTGATTTTATTTAGTTCTTGATAATCAATATACATTTACAATGATCCATCTTTTTTCTTCACAAATAAAATTGGAGCTCTTGTTGGAGATTTGGAATGGCATATGAAGTTCTTTGCCAAATTTTCTTTAATATATTCCTCAAATTCAGCCAATTTATTTTGTGATAAACTGTAAATTGGTCCAAATGGAAATTGAGCTCCTTCTTGAAGGTCAATTGAACAATCATATGAACAATGCTCTAGAAGAGTATTTACATTCTTCTTCTCAAATATATCTTTAAAATCTTAATATTGGCAAGAAATGCCATTTGAAGTTTTTTTTCCATTAGAAATAGGTGTGGCATAAATTATACAAGGTGATCTTTCTTTTATAGCATGCAAGAAAGCTCTTGCACCTACAAATATAGGTTTGCTTATACTAGACTTATGAATTTATACTTCATTAATTATATTCTTAGTTATACTTTTAGAAAAGTTGAGATTAAGAGAAATCTAATCTATTCAAGGATTATATTTTTCTAACAATAGTAAATTTAAAATAATTGGATTAGAAAGAGATCTAATCATATTAAATACGACAAAGTTACTATTACCATTAATTACTTCTCATTTTATGATTGCATTGCTTCTTTGAATAATGTTGAGTAGTGTGCTTTGATTCTCCACAATATAAACAAAAGAAAATTTAATGACAACAAGTCTTTTCTTGCTTAATACGAAATTTAGAACATACTTCATTAATTTACATATCTTCTACTTTTGAAGGTATGTATTAAGAAGAAAATGATATTACTATTAAATTGTAATAACATTGAGGTCTAGTTATACAATTCTTAGACCAAAATTAAAAAAGCCGATTATCACTATTTGTAGCAAAATCAATTGCTTGACTCAATATTTGAGAATCATGTAAATTAAACATTAATTTCTTTACCTCATATTGTAATCCACAAAAAAATTGGCTAATAAGTGCAACATCCTCCCACTTGATATCAATTGTAAGTTATCAAAGCATACAATGTTATAGATTGATTTTCTTATCGCAAAATATAGATCTTATTTATTGTAATATGAATGGCATCATATTTTTTATGTATAGATCAAAAATTTGCCAAAAAAACTTTCAAATTATCTAATATTGGATCACGTTATTTGAAAAAAGATGAAAACCATGATAATACAAAACCAAAAAGTATAGTTCTAACTTGTGATTTTAGAGTTTGATAGCTTTGGAGGTGAAGTTCAATTTCTAGTTGTACTTCATTGATGAAGCTTTGAAACTTTAATCTAGTACTATCAAACTTCTCAAATAAAAAAATTCTTGATTCTCTAGTACTTGAATGGTTTTCTACCATAGGAAAAAAAATATGATTTGGTATATTTGTTGAAGCAGCTCAAATCATTTCTATATCTCCACTTTATGCTATTCTTATTTTTCTTTGTTGTAGTAAATTGAGTTGATGCATCACAAGCATTAATTTCTTCAATTGTTCTTACATTTGTGCCATTGCATTCTTCATTTTGACAAGCTTTGCTATAATAAGACTTAAAGTAAAAGAGATGTCTAATATCACTCAAGACAAGCAAAAAAAAGTTCTTGAAGATAAAAAAAATACTAAAAATAATATCAATTTAGAAGAAGATAATCTGCAACTTCTAATACTCTTACATCTTATCAAAAAAAAAAAAAAAAAAAAAAAAAAAAAATCTATTTTTAATTAAGAAAAGATAAAGCTTTAATATTGTAGGTAGACTCTTGTCAATTTGTAAAGAACAAAAACTTGATAAAAGCATATAAATAAGTGAGACTTTCTCAAAGTAGTATGAAAAAATAAAAATAAGAAATTATATATGTTAAAAAGAAATTAGAATGGCTATTGCAAAAAAACAAGAAAACTAGAGACTCTTGAAATTAGACTAGAAGCAAGAAAAGAATTGACAAGAGTGAAGAAGGTTTCACTCTTGCTTCTATATATACTATCTACCTAAGAACTATGTTGGAACATTCTATACGATCTTTAAATTGTGTTGACTTTGCATGACATGTATCTTAACTTGCAAGGCAAGTTTTCTATATGGACGCCACATAATTAGCTTGTTTTGTAAAGAACTAACACATAGTTAACTTATTCACCAAGTTTCTAACCTACCAATCAACTATAAATACATGTAAAATCAAAACAATGTCTATGAAGCTTCTAGAAATCTTTCCTAAAAGATATCATGAAATTAATTTATATTTATCTACTTCTACCTATTCATATTATCTAAGTAACAATTACAATAAATATATGTTTGTGATAGCAACTTATCTAAAGTAATATCTTTTACATAATATCTTATTTTTACTTTAACATATATTAGAATTATTTAGTAACAAAATTTTATTTTTTAAAGTTATCTTGATAATATCTAGAATAATTAAAATTAAATAAAAATTTATTTAATAATTTTAGATGTGTCAAAAGGAACAAAATAAGATGGTTTTTTGAAAATGGTGTTCATCCAAGACAGACTATAATTTTTTTAGGGTTGGATAGATTTGAATCTTTTTTGAAGGGTAGAGTTTTTAAAAATTTGTGTGCCTCTATTGGCAATGAAAGAATGCAAAGTGTGATTGATCGGATAGGTTGGTGAGAGAAGTGTTGCCTACAAGAGTGAAGTGAGGGCAAAAAGAAGAAATATGAAGAATATGAGTACCTTGCAAAATAAAAACAAAAGCACATGATCTTAGATTCAATCCCAAGACCTTAGTCTTCTTGACCAATATCTTATCTATCACCTTCATTCTCACCAATGCTTAGAACAAAAAGAGAACAAAAGTACACTTAACTAGAAAAAACCCTCTTTTTTTGTCTTTAGGAGGTTTGAAATTACTACACCTACAAAAACACACTTATAGGGGTTCCATATAATACTCTGCAAGTGGAATCCATCCATTGAACAATTCCACCCCAAATTGAGCATTTAAGTAGAATGACTTAAAATATATATATATATATATATATATATATATATATTTATTTATTTATTTATTTATTTATTTATTTCTCTCAAACCTTTTTCCTTTCCATGTTGAGACTTAATCAAGAAACAAATTTGTGACTAGAAATATTTTATTTAATATTAATTTTTTAATACAAAGACAAAAAAAATTAAAAATCATATTTTTAATTCAAGATACTTAATTTAATGCAAGGTACAAGTACACTCCAAATACAAGTACACCCCAAATTACTATACGCGTACACACCCAAGACAGCATCTGGCTGGCTGCTCTGCTGCTCTAGACCCCTTTCCTGGAAGAGAAGGGGCGGCATAGAATGGGCGTTGACTCTGGGCAAATTATTATATTTGGGGTTTAACGACGAAAGTTCCAGAGAAGGGGAGGGATGGTCGGCGGTGAATGTGAGAGTAAGGGCATTAGGACCTACCTACTTTAGTGGGGAGAGAGAAGAGCGAGTGGGGATTTGCGCACTTCTTTCGACCGGGCTCGGGTTTCAGAGTGAACAGTGTCCTCCTCTGCATGAGTTGTCTAGTTTCCTTGGTTCCGCGGTCGCCGTTCTTGCAGCTCCTCGCCAGGTTTTGGCAACATAATCCAGAGGAGTGCAGCGTAAACAATTACATGGCGCCATCCGCTATGACAACGAATTTGGAAGCGAATTGAAAGCGATTTCTTTAGCGACAAGTGGAGCAAATTGTTTTCGGGGTGTAACGACGACCAAGTTATGGCGCAATCTGAGATGACAACTATTTCCGACGAGACCCAGGAGGAGTTGGAGCAAGGGTTGCCTAACATCGAGAAGCAGTTCCAATGGGAGTGGGAATTGCGAATCACCCAGGAGTCGTGGGGGCAGGAGATTTGGCAGCAGGAGTTGAGGGCATGGCAATTGTTTCAGTTGCGGGAGCAGGCGTTGCGGGAGCAGAAGTCACAGGAGTTGCGAAAGATCCAGGGGGTGTGTGAGTGGAAGAAGCGATCGATGCGGAAGAAGCAATATGTGACGAGAGAGGTGGAGCTGTCGGAGATGTTGGAGGCCTACGAGAGAAAGTGGTACCATCGCCCACTTTATGGAAAGGATGCCGAAAAGCACTTTCCAAAAACGACTGATGTGCCTTCTCATCCGAAACAATGGAACATGGTTCCGCCGGTTCAGAGTCCTTCCCTACCGCCGAGCTCTTCTTTTCGTTCACCGACTTTGTTCATGTCTGAAGAGATTCCAGATTCAAATTCCCCGGCTGGCAAAGGATCGGGAAAGACGACCCCTGCTGTTATAGCCGCTCTGGACCAGGTTGACCGGAAGGTTCATGTGCCCCAGACTCTTATTTTGTGTCCCAAGACAGAGAACGTTAATGAGGTACCAAATCTTGTCGATTGCTCCCCTAATTTCATTCGTTATATTCGTCGTCATCAAATTCCCCGTCTCCTCCGTTCTTCATCTTCTTCTCCATGTTTCCTTTGCATTATTTCCGTGGGTTTCATTGGAAATTTTATGTTGTGTGGACTTCAATGCACTAATTGGCTTAGAAGCCAGTCCTCTGATTTCTTCTCTTCTATATGATTACCCTCCATTAGTTTGAGTTTATTCAAGATGCAACACGCAAGGACCATTGAACTGGATGCCTCTGAGCAGCAACTCTTCATGACTTAAAGTTTTCTGTATGGAAGTGCATGGATATGTTGAGTGGAAACGAAAATTCCATAGGAGTAACGTCATGTATCGCCGGAACGTCCACATTTCGCGAGGGAATCAAGGCTCAAGTTGTCGTTGGCACACCTGGTGACGTGAAGCGCTCGATCTCGGTGCACAAAACTTTTGACACAATACATCTCAATAAAGTGATATTTCTGGAGCCGATGACATTTTTGCGGTGGTGAGATATTTTGATATTGTTCGAGTAAACCGTCACAGCGTCTGCATGGGGTTTAAGCATATGATACTGTGCTGGGATTAATTGCAGCACCTCCTCTTCTTACGTCTATCCAACACATTTTGTGCATACAGAACAACCTAAATTTCTAGTTGTGCAATTTGCCAACATCACAGGTGCTGGTTTGGCACACATGATGCTACGGATAATATTTTGGAAATTTAATCGAGATTGCTTCGTTTTGCAGGATGGATATATGGACGATACCTTCAGGATTATAAAGTACATCAAGAAGAAGCAGAGCAGTAATTCTGGGAAGACAACAAAATTCAACGTACTTAATAATGTTAATAATAGATATATAGATATATAGATAGATAGTTTGATTATTTATTTTATCTTGTTAATGTTTTGGATTTTCGTTCAACGACGTCCGGTCTTAGTTTGTGTTACGGAAAGGGGAAATTGCAGTTGAGTTCCTGGGTTGGTTTTCCGTCATGCAGCTATTGTTACTCACTTCAACTGTCAACGATAAAGTGAGTTCTTTTATACTGAAGACTGTTCCTGACGGGGCCAAATGTTTCATATCTGACCACACCCAGCTCGCACCGGCCCTTGTCTGGGGGTATCAAATCGAGGGCTCCGATGCTTGTGCACAAATCAATTCCTGCTAGGAGATCACGATGGACTGCTTCAATCGGGATACAAATGGCAATGGTAGGCTGCTGAAGATGAAGCTTGTTGAAGATATGTGGATTGGTTCACAGATTTGTTTCTGTAAGGTCACTGGTGTATGTGTCGCATTCATCTTACTAGGAGCAGTGGGAATTGTAGGGGAGAGTTATGAACACTTGGATCTTCCAAACAACGGCGCTGACCTTCAGGAGCGCCAGAAGTTTGTGCTTTGATTCTTGCAGTACCTACCAGTGCCAGATGATGCACGCGAGCGACTTGCAGAATACCAACGGGAGTACGCCACGCTATTGTTAGAATGGAATACGCTTGAAGAGATTCTACATGGTTAGCAGCATGTAGATGTGGAGAAGTTTTTTGGAATCTAGATGGGCATGTTGTTTTCAGTCATGGGATTAAGATTGGAAGATTTTCAGTGCAGTGGATTGAAACAGGCAAACCTGAAGTTTGAGAGTTGAAACAGTTCCCCAGTTCAAGTGAGTCTTCTACATGTTGAGTGCACTCTAACGACTTGAAATGAAGCAGGTCGAGGTTATGAACTAATCTGCAGTGTAACCCGGTGCCACCATTTTGTGGAGACAAGAGAATGTACACAGCTTAGATAGATCCACCAGCACGTAGTGGTAATGGATTTAGTGAGCACATGAATTGTTTGTTTGAAAAGATCCGCTGCAAAGGTATGATCGTTTTTCTCTCAATGTGTGTGAGGGAGTACATGGTGCAGAAAAAACCAAACGATGATCTATACCGCATCTTGCGGGGTACAAGCTTGCTACTGTTTTTGAGTTGGGATAGTGATGTTTCAGAAGTGGTATTTCATGAACGTGGGCCTCGACTGACATTGCTGTGTTTCCTGTTTTTTAGAACCTGGCAGGAAGGCCAACGAGTTATAGAAATGAGAAGTCTTCTCAAAGGCGCTTCACTCTAGATTGACGAGTTGCGAAATGTTCACATCTCTCTTGATATTGTGACAACAGATTCCGACAGGTTTCGACATGGTGCTTGTGGATACTTTGACAACAGGTTTCGACATGGTGCTTGTGGATACTTTGACAACAGGTTTCGACATGCTGTTTCTTTGGCAGCTGTGTAGATTTTCGTTGATGAAGGGGAACCGTTTCTCCAATCAACAATCGGGTGTTGTTGTGATCTGGGTACTGTAGTTGCAGTTTGAGATACTGCACTCTTCCATCCCCTGATCTACTAATTCAGGCGATGGAATTGAGTAGTTTATTCCTTTCAACAATCGGCTCTTTACTGCTTGGGTTCCAAATTTGAATTGTGCATTTCGATTTCAACATTTCATAAAAAGTATTCTTCAAGATTCTGTCAATAATCTAAAACCTGCAATGTATAATAGTAAGATATAGGAACCTTGTTTTTATGTAGCCCATATTGTGTGAAACATTTATGTGGTTTTGATACGAAACAAGCAATAAAAAAAATTAATCTGATAAACTGTTGCATGCCAGAAGAACCAAGCTCCTTAGCAAAACTTTATGTTAATTTTATTTTGCTTGTGATATTAAAACGAAGTCATGAAAAGAAATCTTCATTAAGTATATTTATCCAAACCTATCGTCATTGTCCTCATATATTGTTTTTGTTTTTATTTATTATTTAGAGATATGTTGTTATTATATATATTTTTTAAATGAAAGTCTCAGGACATCAAATTAAGGTTTAAGGTAAATTTTTTGAGATTCTAGTATAAATTCTATACAGTCTAATAATGAACAGTAAAACACTAGTTTATCAACATAACAGTATATATTAGTAGTTTTTAAAATCTTAAACAAAATCCTTTGTAAAATTATTTATTTGTGCATTATTCATTTTATTTTAAAAAATCAGATTATTTATTTTTAATATTTAATTAAATGGTTTGCATTAAAAAATCTAAAATTATATATATAGTATGCACTTGTATTTTATAATGTAAGATAGGTGGGTTGATTTAGTAAATGCTTGGGTCAATTTAACAATTTCCTTTATATATATTTATATATGTATATATACATAAATATATATATTTCAAATTTTATTCAATAAATGATAAATACTATTTGCACTTGGATTTAATAAGTCTAGTTGGTATAAAAGACTTATCATGTCATGGAATGTGAAGATGGTAAAAAAGCTTGATGAAAGGGTGGAGACCTTGCAGAGTAAGCCCTGACAAAGTGGGAATGAACAGCTTTGAATAAATAGGCATTTAAAAACGTAAACTTTTTTTTATGTTTGCAAAGTTTCAGGACTCTTTTTTGAACAATAAACACTAAAAAAATGTAAATAGTAATATAAGTGTTTATTGTATTAATCAAATAAATAAACAACACGAAAAATTAATATTTTAATTATTTAAAGAAAATTAATGAGATCATTTTGTTAGTAATATTTTACAAACAGAAAATATAAAATCAAATCACTATTACTTCTAATAAATAATTGCAACTGACGAAACAATGATTGTACATTACAATCATTGTTTAGTCACTTTTTGCACCTTGAACAAAACTTGTTTTAAGAAATAATAATAATGTGGACCAATTGTATTTTGACACCAATGTAATATGCACCAATTATACTTATACACCAACTAACCGTGGATTAAATTAACATATGTATATATATACATATATATTCCTCAGGTCGTATAAATAAAAACATTAGCGTGTCACGTGGAAGGCCAAGAGTGAGTGCACATTGTCACGCTTACTTGAAACTTGAGCAGTTCTCTGAGAAGGCGCCACTTGGCAGGTAATGTCACGTCGGCATCACGAGAAGGCTTTCAAGCACGAGTGTCCTCGCCACGTCAGCCGAAACCTCCGCCACGTCACTCACCGACAAGGAGGGAAAGGCGCCATATTTTTTCTAGGCTCCCACGATTAGATTATTCCTCACTTTCGGGTTTTGAGTCTACAATTCTGTTGCCCGCTGTTTGAGGACACATTCACGAGCTTCTCCTTTTCATTGGTTTTCTTTTTCTGGGATGTTCTTTAGCTTCGCGACTGATGGCAAGGTTTGCAGTTGCCGAAGACCAGTTCAGTGAGCTTTCACGAGGAAGTAGACCTCTCAAATTGCGCTTCAAGCTTTTTTGTCTGTCAGATGGGTAGAGCTTCTCGGTCAGTTTAGGCGTGTTTTTGAGGAGATCGGGTGAGGTGAAGTGGGGAGGCGATGGCGGGAGGAGGCGAAGGGTCGCAGAAGTCGTTGGAGCAGACACCGACATGGGCCGTGGCGGCAGTATGTACCGTGTTCGTGATAGCATCTCTTCTGGTTGAACGAGGAATCCACAAGCTCGGAAAGGTACTCTATGTGCGCGTAGGTTCGCCGCGCTGAGCTGGTTCGCCATCCTCAAAACTGTGATATGTGTCCACTCCATGTGATCCCGCGTTGTCCGCACCAGGGTTTCTCACATTGTTTTCTGTACTTCGCCACCGGTTTAAGCAGAGTCTAATCCTCTTTTTGCATTTTCACGACTCTGCGAAATGAATCTGAGTACAGAAATCATTACAGTATTTTACCAGTATTGCTTTGAAACAGTAGTGCCTGAAAGAGCTGAATCCAAAATCGCCATAGCTGTACTGTCTCGCTGATGGTTTCTCGTACACTTTTGTGGTTTCTGTGCAGTATTTCAAACGAGCCCAGAGAAAGGAATTATTCCACACGCTCCAGCAGATTAAGAATGGTAAGATTTCGCTCAGTTTAAAAATTACGAAGACTGGACTTGAGGTAGAATCATACGCGCAAGACATCAAGATCAAGACACGACTCTCCACTGAACGATGATCTAAGGTCGTAAATGAATGTGGTGCACTGATGTTGCAGAATTGATGCTGCTGGGATTCATTTCCCTGTTGCTTACAGTCTTTCAGAACAAGGTAGCCTCCATTTGTATGCCGGAGAGGTTCGGCCACAGAATGCTGCCGTGCCCATACGTACCACCTGCGAGTGAAGCTTCAGTTGCAGCTCGTCGGCGATTGTTTGCAACAGAGGCTACTGCTACAACTGGATGCAAAGCGGTAAGTGTTCCAAGTTTGTTTTGCTACCAAGTTTCTATAGAATGGTCTCAGATCCAGATGGATGCAAGAGAGCTATGTGGAAGATAATTGGGCTGTGCTCGTTGTCATTTTGCCAAAGGAATTTGTTTCTATTGGATTTTTAAACAATTGTGTCTTGAGATGCCAGATCTTTGCTGAACTTGGGGGTTCGATTGTTGCAGGGCTATGTGCCAGTGATTTCTGTGGAGGGTCTCCACCAGCTCCACATATTCATCTTCATCTTGGCTGTCGTTCATGTCTGTTACAGCTGCCTTACTGTTCTAGTTGGCTTGTTGCAAGTAAGTGAAGTCAAAACACTTGTCTTTTCCCGTTTTTTTGAAGCCATTCAGGTTCTGTTAGGTTGGAAAGTGGGCGTTTCTGTTGACGCTTTGGTATGGAACCAGGTGCACAGTTGGAAGAAGTGGGAGATTCAAGCTCACAGTGAGGGAGATGCAGCTTTAAACGCAGGCATGTCACTTACTCATCTTCTTCTTCTTCCTGCCGCTGGGTCAAGAGTGATGGGTGAGTGGCATTTTTAGTGTATTGAAATTTAAGAGAAGTCTCAAGGAACGGCGTTTGGTTGTGGGCAGCCTTGAAGCCGGACCATCACGGAAGGCATGAGCATCTTTTGAAGGCTCATGGTACAAACTTTGCTGAAAGTCGAGTGAAATACAGATTTCTGCACCAGTCGATAACTGGTCTAAACCTCGACAGTTACATTGTAAGTTTGATTCAAGAAGTTTCTCTCCTCCTACTAAGGCTCACAGGATATATTATTATTTTTTCACTTTCAAACGAGTTAAAGGAGATTGACGAAGCCTTGTGAACAAATGTGCAGTACAGTTTTTTTCGGCAATTTGGAAAGCCCATCTATCGAACAGATTATTTTTGTCTGCGTGTGGGCTTCATTACAGTAAGTCATGCTCTTTCTTCCAACACCTGACTACAGGATTGCGTGCTTGGCCGCCTAGGTGCATGCGAGGAATATGCTTGTTTTTGAAGAACACTGCTTTTGTTATAATTCAGTGCAGCTCTCAACTTTTCTTCCCGCGTATCTGACGATTACATGTCGTATTTTGGCATCAGAAGCACAATCTCTCTCCAGATTACGATTTTTATCACTACATCCGACGAGCTATGGAAGAGGACTTCAAACGCGTGGTTGGCATTAGGTGTGAATATATCTCTGTATTTAGTTAGTTAACGGTCGTAGGTGTAAGTGTTGCCCCTGTGGCTACTCAATAACTGCAGAACTCGTAATTATGCTTTTTCCTTCATATTCACATTCATGTGGATGTGATCTTATCTCAAGCTAATGTTTCTATTATCTTCGAATCATTGTTGGTGTGTCCTTTAATGAGACGTTTGGTTCCTCAAACCGGTTAAGCACGATTTTGTGTGATGGCAGTGCTTTCCTCTGGGCAATCGTCTGCATATTCCTATTAACAGATCTGAATGGTTTGTTCTATCCGTCTTTTAGAAAAGATACTTTTAACACCTTATTTTGAAACTAAATATAAATATTAACAATGTAAGTGTTTAGTAATTGTTTGCATTCATGCAGTGCAAATGTGCACATCTTCTATTTTGTCCGTGCCAGCAACATTTTATTTCTTTCTTCTTTTTTCCTTTTTAATTGTTTTTTGGGGGGAGGGCGATTGCAGGCTGGTACACCTACTTCTGGATAGCATTCATACCCACAATTGTGAGCTTCTTTAACATTTCATTTGAAGGCAAACTGTCGATGCTTGGTTGTGTGGCATGGGATCGATCAGGCACCTCATACTTCTGCAAATGTAGGTTTTAGCCTCAACTGTGGTTTGTGATTGCAGTTGGTCTTGATTGTGGGAGCGAAGCTTCAGCATATCATTATCAGTTTAGCAATTGAAGTGAGAGGAGGTGTGGACAAAATAACGATTACAGATCCAGATCAGCTCGATGACGGTTTTAAGAAAGCAGAGAAACCGAAAGTGGCAGCATTAATCGAACCCACGAAACCCCGAGATGACTTATTTTGGTTTAAAAGGCCTCACGTCCTGGTCAAACTGATCCACTTCATTCTCTTCCAGGTATTCGATGCTACTCATCTTGCAAGTAAGACTCCACCGGTAGTTTTTAGAAGGTAGGTTACTCTCATGTTAAATTTTTCTTTGTCAGCACACAGAGCATTGTCAAAAAATAAAGAATGTGTCCTAGTTCAGGTATGTATCCCAGACATTGGCTAAGCATTCTTCTGTACTGATTTGAGTTTGAGATACCAGCTCAATAATGTGTTTTTCACTTGTGTGCTACAGAATGCTTTTGAGTTGGCTTTCTTCTTCTGGGCAATGGTAATGAAACCTACACTCATTTCCTGTATTTGCTACACTTTGTAAGTAGGCATGAATGATACCACATGTAAATTTTTCTAATTTGTTGCATTTTGAGTAGTAGAGAATTAAAAGGTAGTATTTTCCCAGCTATTTCCTTGCTCTTTTTATCTATCTATTGAAGACTTGGTGCGCTGCAGTTTACATATGGAATTGACTCCTGTCTTGTTGGGAAAAGATGGATGATCCTTGTCCGGCTTGGGATGGGGTATGTTCCGAACAGCCTTGAAATTATGGGTGTATGTGCTAGTCAGTTGTCTAGTTATGAATACAACAGCACAGAATCGAATTTTGTCGCAATAAAAACTATTTCTGCTACACTGTATATTACTTTGCTGTGACAGGTCACTTCTATTTTTGCACAGGGAAGTTTTTCCGTTTCTTTTTTTCTTTTTTTCTTTTTTTCTTTAATTTATTTGGCTAATGTTTCGGTACTGCTCAGGGTTTTTGTGCAAATTCTGTGTAGCGCCAGTACTTTGCCTCTGTACGCCCTAGTGAGCCAGGTAAGTTATCTGAAATGAATGAGACCATTGCAATGTGAAAATCAAGGGCTTGAAGGAGACCCATGATGCGATTTGTAAAAAGCCATCTTATTGATTCTGTTGCTCGTCACCTCTCTCTTCGCGCTATTCGCGCGATAATCTTAGCTTCGCTTCGTACGATTGTAGATACAACCTGTCTGAAATAACCAAATAATTCTGCATTCTTTAATTTCCGGAACTAAAAACTTCATGTCTTGGCACAGATGGGATCCTCTATCAAGTTTGACCCTGACTGGCGTGAACGACCCGACAAGGCCAACAAAGGGAACCAAAAGCTTAATGGAAAAGCACGCCATTTGGCTGGAATCTTAGGCGTCGATAAGGAAGTGAACAGGAAGGATCGAGCTGTGGACATTGAGCTTCCTATTCATCGTGGTGCTAATAATATGCATCCTTATCCTCATCCTGATCAAGGTAATCAATCAATCAATCAACCCCAAACTCTTGTGGCAGTGAGGACATGCAACCCCATGGTTCAGTTTTTTTTAATGATCTTCACTTTCTTTGCTCTTTGTAACAAACCAAACAAATTTTGTGGATCCTTCTGCTGACGCTATTTAAAAGTGTGCAGTAGCTGTTTGTTGATAGAAGTGTATGAATTTGTCTGTGCGTCGAGTCACTAGAGGCTCACTCACAGACGGCACTTCCAGATTAAGAACATGAATCTGAATGCAAACTAAATGTAGACATAGATAGTGCATGTGTGATTTTGAGATAGTGAAAACCAACTTTGCTTTATATTTACAGTTCAAAATGAGTATATTCTGTGTTAGTTTCTAGATATCCGTTGATTCTGGGTTTCCTCAACCTCAGTTTTGAAGATACAAATGATTTGCTCTTGAGCTCGATCTCTTCGTTCTGTAGCTGTTGACTGATCTAGTGCAGTTCTTTTCTCAGGTGGTTCCAATGCCATGGAGATTGATGAAGCACCAATGCCAATCCTGCCAAAATCTGCTGATCCTCGAAACAATCCAAGCTCTGAACGGGAGACAGATTCAGAAAAACTTTCTCCAGCCAACGTTTTCAAACTTGCTGCTGAAAAAGAGAAGCTGAAAAAATCTAGAAGTGAACAAAAAGACGATATACCTTAAAATGTTAGCTTAATTTGAAGAATTTTAAGTGCTCATTTTCCATATTCTCTTTTTAGGATACTTTGTGCGCTAGTTGCACTTGAACTTAGGGTGATTTATAGAAAAAAGAAATTAATTAATTAAATGAAGAATTCATAAAATGTACACATTATGTACAAAAAATAAAATAGGTTTTGAATTTAAACAATGAAACATATAAATGTCGATTTACATAAGTTTGTGTTTTTTAAACTCTGAGTTTTTAAACTTTTAATAAAAATATTTAAAATGTAATTAAATTTTTTCCAATCTATTATTTTCAAGTAATCTAATTGTGTAAGCTACTCAAATAGCTTGAACTTACTAAAAATAATCGTACTAAATTTATATGAGAAATAACATTCAATAATATGAAATAATGTAATGCAAATTGACAAATTAATTCTATATTCTTTTCATTGAATACACATTTTAAAAAATTATGTTTTGAAAAAAAAAATGTTAATTTTTTAGAATTCATGAACATCAATATGAAAATATATTAAATCAATATGAATATATATGTAATTTTTTTTAGACTTATCTAACTGTAGATTTTTCTTATTATTTTCAAAAGTAAATGGTTTTATTTCTATAGTTATTAACATGGATAATTGAATTAACACCGCATATAATAGCTTTGATGACACACTCTTTGCTCATAGACTTGTTATCAATTTGTATGCTACAAGAATGATTTCCGTCAAAAAAAGGATTAGATAATATGTATCAGACATAACATTATTCTTTTATTATTTGTGAGTAAGTACACTAACCTATATATGTGTATATATACATGTATATTCACATTTCATCGATATACCAAGATTGTTCCATTTCAATTTAAGTTTAATGTAGAACGGTATTCCTGTTAAAATCAACATAGATTTGTAGTATTTACTTGCCATCATTCTGTAGAAAGTGGTGACAATAAAATCTCACACTGTTCAAGACTACGTAAAATTAGTTTGCGTGATGTTGGACGTATTCGAGAGGCCATCTACAATTTGATGCAAAGATTCCGTTTTTTTCCATATATATATATATATATATATATATATAACCAAGCAACCCTGTTGTCCAATTATCATGGAAGATGTAAAGAGGTGCTGCATGTTAAATATCAAAACTGAAAGGGGCAGGCATGCTAATGAAAGAAAAGGTATTGGATAAAGTTTTGAAACTATCCAGACTGACACTGTTTGAAAAGATTAATTTCGTCAAGTAGGTTGTGCACTCATACGGCATAAGCGAAAGTTGTAAGTGTAAACAATATAACAAGAATCTCAGAGCAAGTGGGCGTCCTTTTCCCTTGGATATATGCAGGGCACAAGAAATTCTGATTCGAAAGTGACACAGAAAAAGTATGCAGTACACGTGATAAAAAATAAAGAGGAAGGCGACCTCATGACATGGTATCAATGAGAGAGGCCCGCATTTCGTTGACGATGTTACTGGGCTGAGCATCACGGAGTTTAAACACACTCTCTATCACCGATAGTTCAGTGGCTGTTGTGTCCAGTCCACAAAAAGCAGTCCAGTCATTTACTACCAACCCGGCTCCAATGACTTCGCTTCCTCTATTCACAGTACCAGCTACAAGTGGAACTTGTAATAGTGATGACAATTCGTCCAAATCTTCAATTGAGGTATGAGGATGCACCTGCCAATTTGACGATGCATTAGCTTCTGAACAGAGCGTTCATCTTCAAAATTTATCTGAGACAAATCTTGATCATCAACTAGACGGACGAACTAGGCATCGGAGAATTCAGATATCAGTGCTTACCAATCCGCCACGATTAGTGAATTGACTGTAGCTTCCTACAAGGATGTTTCCTGCTATAGTTTGCCTGAATACCTCAACTCCCAAAACGTCAGCTACAAGTTCTTCGGTTTCCTGTGCACCGAATGCAACACCCGGTCACTTGAGGAAAAACAATTCAAACGGAAGAAAGCTAATCATGAACAAACCGCAGCACAGCAAGGCGATGCATTATATATTTTAACCTTTTAATTGTGCTTTCAGCGTAGAAACTTGAGCTGGCCTATCAAAAACAAATTGAGTACATACCCTATCGAGGTCGGTATGAATGAGCGACACATAATCGTTACATGCGATACAATTGCCAAGGGCCGAAAGGCGCTCGTCTACTCTTTGAACCACAACTTTGTCTGGTAAACAATTCCTTATGTGCAAAAGCTCTGGCGTGATGACACAGCACAACTATCAACATTAATGTACTTAGTCGCCCTCACACACCAGCATCAAAACAGAAGACGTGCATGCGGGACTCAACATTGCACAGCGATTCTGATGTATTGAATAGAGTTGAGAAATGACCGTAAAATATTATTACTAAAAACAACAAAATAAAATAAAATAAAAAGTTCAAAAACTCTAAAATTGCGAATTTCGCTTAATATTCGTACCATACACAACAATAGATCAACAACTGAAGGTTGTACCTTGATCAGTAGTTGCTTGAGGAAGAAGAAGGCCATTCTTGTTACCAACACACATACGGCCAATCACTCGGGTACCCGCGATAGAAGCCTTCACCACAGGAATAACATCTTGTAACTCTGCCTCAAATGTGCTGCATAAATCGAAGTAAAATCCATGAGCTAATATTTTATGCGTTGTACAAGGTGTATGAATTGTTAAATCCTCAGAATACATTCACATTGACAAATAACACAGGCATACGGACCTGAACTACATGGACATTCATTTCAGTCGGCCAGCAAGAAACCTGTAGAAAGAGAACCTCACTTAAAAAACGATAAAATCCAGCTACTTGACCATCAACAACAGAAAGAATTATAGGATACTATAAAAAATACATCAGTAAAAGATAAGTCGATGACACCTGTAAAAGTTCTCGGAACCCCCAATCGCAACGAGGCAGTAAGCATTGGTGAGCTTTGAAAATACTCCAATTTCATTACTGTTCTCAAACTGGGCCCCTGCACACCGTAACAAACATATCAAAAGACTGCTCGCCACAGAAAAATATCCATGACCTTAAACAGACTGCATCCCCTAACTGAGAAATCACAGGTACACGAAGAGAAGACAAAAATTCCGTCACAACAAAGTACACAACTCCACACATACAGTCCTATTTACACTACCAAGATTCCATTCACAAACCTTCAACCGAAAAACCTTGCAACACAACTTAACCCAAACTACAGAAACCAAAACGTTGGCTAAAATGCAGAATATCATCAGCTAGGTGTCGCAGCCCAGCCTACGAAAACCGTGCCGCCGTTCCAACCACTAGACACCACACTGGCAAGTTCACAACTCCAAGAATCTCTATCTCCTACCCAAAACACCAATCTAAAAACCCATAAACCCTTCCAACAATCAACCGCCTAATCCACAGGTTGAAGCATCTCTTACTGGTAGCCATCTTGAACTAACAGCCGACAACCAGGCTGCGAATCTCACTCTCAGCTGCCCTTACGCAACCACTTACGCAACACTGTAAAACGAATTTCGACAGCTCGCCTACGCAGACTCGCCAAGTTAGGGAGCGAATTCAAAGGGGGATTATTTGCTTGGTTGCGAGCAGAATCAGAGTATAGGTTTAGGGTTTGGATCATGACAATAAGTATGTTACCCAAGCCTCCTTCCTTGTTCCCCACGTGTTCCCTCCCCCTGCCCATTTTTTTCTTGCAGCCCACGCAACTATGACTTTACTTTTCCGGACTGTTCCCACGTTCTCTAAGATCGTTTTAATTCCCTTGTGCGTGCACAGACGTTCACTTAAGCTCCCGAATGCTTTCAATAGGTCTAAAACCCTAACGCTACCACGCTCGACCATTAGGCTCGTTTTCGTCGTCTCTCTCCCATCGAGGTTGCGAATTTTGGACCCCCTTGGGAAATTTTCGGTTGTGCCCAGGCGACGTTATTGTTTGTTGCGATGGACGGTAGCATGTCTGCTCCCCCTCCCGAGCCTGTCACCTACCTTTGTGGTGGTTAGTGCTTCTCTTCTTTCTCTTGTGTTTCGGGTTTCCATACGCGGTTCGTGGAGTAGAGAGAGCCCTGTCTATCGTGCGTTGGTCTTACATCCTGGTGTTTAGTGTTCAAGGAGAATGTATAATGGTAGGGAAGGCTTTAGTTTGTTGCCACAGCTCTAAGGCAAGGCATTCTTAGTTGTTAGTCGGTCACTTCCTTTTCTTGACCAGTTGGATTATGTGAGGGGAGTACGTCGCCTTCAAATTTTGAAACTGAATTTCTATAACCGTAATAGCGAGTCATGCTTGTGGAGCAAAGTAGGCATCATTCTCGCATGATTTCTGTCTGTACTGAACGACGAGAGTTTAGCATTAGGTTGTGGTCTGTTTGTATGTTTGAATTAATTTTCCTGGTTGTCTGTATTTTTACAGACTGTGGAGCAGACAATACCTTGAAACCTGGGGATGTGATCCAGTGTCGGGAGTGTGGTTATCGCATCCTTTACAAGAAGAGGACAAGGCGCAGTGAGTCCCTGTCCCAACTTAAATGCCTAATTTTCAGAGGAATAATGCTTGTTCGGTCATATGTTTGATTGTAATTTTGCTGAATTCATTGAGCATTTCGATGCACGAAGGAGTCCCTTTCTTGTTCTAACTTCTTAACCTCCTGCCATCTTGTGAAGTCTAAGTCCCTGATTACTCGTTTCAAGCTTTTTATGTCCAGCATTTGGGTGGAACAGCTCATCATCGTCTACTTAACTTTGCAGTTGTCCAATTTGAGGCTCGCTGAAGAGAGTTCCAGCTCTAGTTGAAGCAAAATCTGTTTCCTGAGTGGAATCTGATGTCAACCGCCTCCTTTCGCAATGAAAAGAGGGCTTTTGGATTGCTTACGGACAATTTCGACTTAGTTTGACAGATATTAGGATGTGGAATTTTAGGCACCTGTATTTCAACATGTGCTCTTAAATCCGGCAGGTTGCTACATAGGTGTATTATTAGTAATTAAAGCTAAAAGAAAATATGACGCGAACATTATAGGCACTGTGATCGTTATTTATCCTCCGTCTCTCTACTATCTTGCCTTTTTGGTAGATTATTGGAATTTGAAAAATGCGTATGTTTACAAATAACTGAAGGTATCGTTGTATTTCTAACATTCACATTTTGGTCCATTCAATGAGAAAGAAAGTTAATTCTTACCACACGTCCCCTCTTGTAAATAGAGCTTTTAAAAATCACACCGCTTTCAGACGCATCGGCTGGTTAAAATTCTGTTAATCAAACGTCTATGTATACACATGGAGAGAAGGTCGCATTCAAATTTGACTGGGAATTGATTACACCTGTTAAATCATAAGTGTACGTGTCTGTTAATCAGAAGTCGTAGTACTACACGTGGTCGGAAAATTTCAGTACAGCGCAATAATAATAATCTCAGAGTAAATAAAGTACATATATCGAGACAAATATAAATCTGTACCTAACGTGAATAGAGCAGAAAACAGAAAGTTTCCACTACTCCTCCACAGTGTACGGGCCACAAGAGTGCAAAAAGTCATGACAACTTGATAACTATGAGTCACATGTTGGAGGTGCTAATTCCTGTCCTAAGTTCGCTTTAGTCAGTGCAGTTCATTGATGAATATTGAACTCTAAATCTTGAAGCAGAAAAATACAATCTCGGAGCAGCTAATTTTCGTAGGGATTACGGAACTTCTTGAGCAACTCTGGAATATCATAACCCAGCATATCGTCAATTGTTTGCAACATCTTTGGTTTCAATTTCTCGAATTTGTCGAAATTATATCCAGCTAGTCTTTCCCTGTAATGTTCCACGCTTGGAAAATCACCAGCTGGTAGATGGAATTCTCTTTGAACCTGTATGTTACATAACAGAATTGAGATTCAGAGGCTCTGGACCAAACAGAGAAGTAATGCAATGTAATGTAATGTAATACTGCTTCTTTACCAGTGCTTCGCAGGTAAACGAAATCGATACAGTCTGAAAAATTGCTCATCGTACGAAGTAAACACTCACCTTGCCAAATTCGTCTTCCAAGTTGTCAATCAAGCGTTGTTGAGCTTTGACCTTGCCTATCATGGCAGGCATTTCTTTTTTCAGTTGGCCTATTATATAAGCATGAATCTTGGCTTGTCTTGCCCTCTTCACAAATTCATTAATCTGGAGCACAACAATCCCATTAAGTCAGGACGTTTCCAATCCCAAAGAACAAAAATAGCTGACAATACTGATCAGAAATAATTTTCTTCGTTAAAAAAGCAGAAGTTCATAGAACTCAAATGCCCGGGCGTACCCTCCGATCACATGCCTTCCGTGGAATGTCCTTTAAGTCCGCTAAGAGATCTTCCTGTTCTTTTTCAAATAAATCTTTTCCAATTGGCCCTACCTTATCCTCATCAATAGGTCGGTCATTGAAAGACCTGTGACAAGCGTAAGAAAATAATGAGGTCCTGATACTGTTGTTTGAGCTACCAAGAAAACAACCCTTGAAAGCATTTCACTAACAGTGCAAACAATGAAGGAACCGGGATCTTAGACAGGAGGATCCAGGATAATTCACTAACGACAGCCAAATTTTTCTATAGCACAGTCCTGATATTCAATCTACCAAGCCTAACCTTGCTATGTAGAGATAGTCGGTAGAAAGTCGTCGGCCCACAACGTTTCATTAGTAATCATTTTTTGGCAAGCTCATGAAGCTGGTCAATATATAGGTTTAGAAGAGAAAAGTCAGCAGACGCACCCAATGTAAACACGATTAACTTCGGGTGTGTTGAGCACCTTGCCCAAAGACCACATAAGAGCTCCATAAACTCTCATCAGCTGTGAAACAACTCATGGTATTAGTCCTTTGAAGAAAATAGGAATTTAACATTAATGAAGAGAAAGAGAAAGAACAATCACGAAACCATCTGCATTACAATCCAAGTCCTGAAATAGGAACCTAAATTTGTGAGCTTACTGTACGGGTCACGTATAAAATAATAAATTCGGTATCTAAACGACATAATGAAGTTCTTAAATACAGTAAATCTCAGTTCAGGACTAAAAGATCACTAAACCTGTTGGGTGTCGACTTGGTCAGCCTTATTCAGGACGATGCGTATTTTATCATCATGGCCACGCAGAGAAGTGATGACCCTCTTGAACTCGTCACTGATATCCAACTTGTGAGGGTCAAAAAGAAGCAAGATGAGGTCACATTTCGATGCAAACCATTCTGTCACTCCTGTGAAGTCATAACTCCTTTGGGTTCTTTGCTTTTCTCCAGAAAGCACTCCTGGTGTGTCCACAAACGTAATGTGATCCAATAACTGTACCAAAGAGACCACGTTATTGTAGTTAGCGGCCCGGCCAGAATATCAACGGCTAAAAGTTTTCTGGTTGACGGAAAGAACGAACGCAGATGCGTGTTTCGAAATCATCGATCACCGGTAGTTATCACATTACGCTCATAACCCAAAAAACAAATCATACTTCAATTGGAAACAACGCCAGAACTTTTCAATAAAATGTTGCAGAACAATATGAACGCAGCTAGGCTCTATATTATTATGTCACGCATATCTTAGTAATAGTTCAGGAGCTGGTAACCTACAGGATGTGGCATTTGTGAACATTCAAACTTCGCAAGAAAAGCCTGGCCAAATTTAGTGAGACCACTGAAAGGCATATCTGCCTGTACTGCAATAGTGTTACCAGGCACGTTTCGCTCATCAGCTCCTCCCTGGACAAGCACAAGCACAAGCTCACATTCACAACCGTTTTGTTAAGTCCTGACGAACCCAGAAGCCCACAAGCAGGAGAGCTTGCGTACCAGGTCCAGTAAACTATGAGACAATGATTTGCATGAAATCAGGAACGAAAAGGCATGTATAAAATCCTTTACACAACTATTTGAGTAGCTAGTGAGGTGATACTATTTATATGTTAGTACATGGTAGAGAAAATTCATTTAGGTGTCCTCTGCAAATATATTTGTATGTACAAAGAGAGAGAGAGAGAGAGAGAGAGAGAGAGAGAGAGAGAGAGAGAGAGAGAGAGAGACGTGGTTGCTTCAAACTGTACTGTCAACTCAAGATTGTGAAGTACGCAAATTTATAGGAGAAGAAACACTAACCATGACGACAACAAATCGATCAGTTGTAGGCTCAGGCCCAATGTGAGCCCCGGGATAACTGCTTCGAAGCAAGTGCTTAATGAAAGTGGTTTTGCCCGTTGAGTATTGACCCAGAAGCATCACCTGAGGCTTTGCATCGAAATCACTATCCGTCTGCAAGCCAAGAGCAATCGCAAAATCAGTCATATTCTTTATGACTAACAACACACAAACAATTTCATCAATGTCTGAAGGAGAATATCAGAAAAGTGTACTTGAAGTACTACCAGTATGGGAGATACGAAATCGTTGAAGCGGTAGGCAACTTCTAGAGGCTTCAGTTTCTCAAGATACAGCTTCTTCAAGCCGTCCACAATTGAAGTAACTGCTATCGCTGAGAGGGTCTGCCATCCAATGCCATGCAGCAGTATTAATCTCAAATACTAAACGTAGATGACCACAATTTAATAGAATACCACGATATCCCTAATGGGCACACAATGCATTATCGTCACATGCAGTTCAGATCGACACATTCATTTTGTTTACACATTTCGCCAATTCTACTCAACAACCGACGCTTCTTACCTTTCGTGGGGGCTTCGGGGCAAACCAGGACGTCTGTCGCTGTGGTGGAGACCCTGTCAAAGTATGACCATACGAATAATTATTTAATTGGAGACAAATATTCAAATTGTAAATTTATTCACTCTTAGATTGATGTACTCAGTTATACGTTTGCATCACCTCAGAATTATGTACCAAGGAGAGATTTGAAAACTAACCATTGCTATGCAGAGAGTCGTTCGAGGCTGGCGAAGTACGTTGATTACCCTTCTATAAAATACGGAGGAAAAGAAGATTCAGTAAGGTACCAACCGATATATGATACCATTACCAACATTGTGTAATTAGGTTGAGGATTTCTTGCAACTAAAATAAATAAAAAGATCTACCACTCGTAAAAGATGACCAAACCAAGATCCACGTGAGCTGCATTACAGAGGACAAAAACTAAAATCACAACACTAAGAATGAAACATACCAGAATTAATTCTTCCAGTCCAGTCATGGTGGGTGGACTGATATTCTCCAAATCTACAAGAAATAAAATATTTCCAACCATCAAAACATTCTCTAAGGATCTAGGAAGAGGATCGTAAAATGCACATTTCACAATGGAGCCACTAAACGATTGGGATGATAATTTTCTACACGCAAAGCTAGAGCTGACAATCGCATTACAAGGGTCATGCGAATCCCTTAAACCCATGTATACATTGAGAACGTTAGCGCTAACTTGGGTCAGTAGCACATTGCAACACTTACAAACGAATGGAGAATTACCGGAATTCTTAAGAATGTCAGGGTTGATATCCTTTCCTAACTGGGCGAGTGAGATAACCTGCAAACCCGGACCACATGTTAGACAGCGAGCATTATAAGCAAAAACATGAAACATATAATTTGGATAATAAACCTGTTCATTAAGGTCAAGGGAGAAGCAGCAATTCTAGGGACGGAACGGTCATATGGTAGCTAATGTGATTGTGTAATTCCTGAACACTTGCCTTCCTTTCTAATGTCTAAACACAATATGCTTCATAACATAATGCTTAGGGTACGAACAAACTTAGCAAGCAAAACCTCAAGGACACGTATCCTACATCTGCAAAAAGAAATCAAGTCCTGAGTACTACATCCGTCATAGACTTGTCCTGACCTGCGCTACAACATTTACGACAACTCACCTGCATTGCAGAAACGAACTCTTTGAAGCCAAGAAACCCTTGTCGCTTCTCATCGGCAATAGCCCACACCTGGATCAGACAACCAAAAGAGATTACAAGTTGTCATGCGATAGAAAGTCCAGCTAGAGTATACCCTGTTAGAACATTCCGACAACTCAAACGAACAGGATCTGACAGAATAAGGAGATCGTTTGAAATGAAAACTAGCTACAAAATTCGAAACCTATCTCAGCAACAGCGCCTATTTCCCATTTTCCTTCCTAGAGAGGTAGTTTCCGACTTTGTAAAAGGCTCAAAGAAATTTGACACGAAGATCATTCGGAGCAAATACCTGTTTCAATTCAGCCCTCGGCAACTCAGAGATAGAGAAGAATTTTACTGCGTCATTGCCAGTAAGACGTCCGTCGCCATCTGTGAGCTCAAGAAAGACAATTTTCTAATTATCTGCAGTGTATTTGTACTGATGGCGAAGTGAAACCAAGATCACCCTCACTACTCTCTGTCTCTCACACTGAAAAATAAAGCTTGGCAAACAATTCAAAATACTATATAGCCGTGGACCTATCCAGCAGTACTATCCTCATTTGCTTGACAAAGAAACAATAGTAACGGGCGGTACAGTTTCCGATCAATTCAATCGAGTATAAAGGGCACATCGTGTGTCCACTTGCAGCCACCAAAGCAGTAGCGCGCTAGGCGGTAACTGGAGGCAGAACGAGCATGCTAACCTGTATCAGCGTACTCGAACCATTTTCTGTAAGCTTGCTCATCCTGTTTCGTACCAACTCGGCTGGAAAGTATCTCCATGTCTCTTTGCTTAAGAGTAATCCGGAAGCCTTGAACAGCTGGCGATCAAAAAAACTCGATGTGCATTGCCGCTGACCGCCAACAAAACGAGAAAAGACTGACAGATGTTGCGTTAAACTGTAAGCATGTAGAAGCAAAGAATCCAATACACTCCAGTCAGACACAATAATCTAGGGCACTACCAACCTAAATGGCCGCCGACAGACCTCAAGAGAGCAAAGACACGCTCGATCGAGGTAGTCGCAAGGCTGAGGATCTGAAACCAAACTCCCCAACAAAAGGAAAGAAAGAAACTCAACTCCCAGGAAATGACATAGAAGTTACAATAAACGAGGCACTTGAAGAAAGACCAAGCCAAAACAGCTAACGCCACTCTCTGACCAAACCATCATGTCCCCAAAGAAGACAGTAAAATGAAAAGAAGGAAAAAAAGAGAAGAAAAGAATTCAAACATGAAGCACACCCGTAAAATAAGCCTAAAACCACAATGCCAAACTAACAGCTCGTCTTCGGCAAGTAAACATTGGAGAACATCATAAAGCCCTACCCAGTGAACAAGCAACGGCGAGCGTACCGAACACCCTCGATCTTGACAACAATCTTTATTTCACGAACTAAGTGACCATAGATCTCATGAGCGTGTCGCTGGATCGCTGCTTCGGGGCGCCCGGAGAGGCTAGAGAATCGGCAAATCGGAGCAAATGTCTAAGCGGTATGACAATGCGACAGTGTCGTTGAGCGGCAGCAGAAAAGCAGGAGAGACAAGCAACGGAAACGAACTACTATTCAAATTACAAACATCTGGTCTTCATTGGAACTGGGACTCGGTGGTCCCACATGGGGTTCATCCAAAGGAGCCCGATCTCATGGACCTTCTTCCTTCATCCATTTTCATCTGGTGCATCACCTCCGACAAGCTTTGTCGACGCTGTGCACGCATTCCGTAGACACTGAATTCATTTTGTACTGAATTCATCCCCTGGGCACGCCCTTTGGTAACGATGTGAATCCTGTTCTTTCGGTTATTTCTATCCCGTTGTGGCTGAGAGAATGATCCTAGGGTTACGAATTGGCTTTTTCGCGACAAGTGCTCTTTGCGATTTGATATGCTCGGTTACACGAAATGTGAATCAGAGTGCGCTGCCACTGCAACGTCTGCATGCGAGGGATGGGGTTTTGAACTTCGAGCTGTTGAGTTTAGGGGTTTTGGGATGACGTGAGGAGAGTGAGACTAATCGCTCTCTGCTGATCTTACAAGGAGAATCTCTTCATTAGGGTTCTGATTCTTTTACATGTCATCGAACTGCGGCTTAAATCAATCACTCAGGAATTTCCGTGATACAGTTAAGTGACATGACCACATTTGAAGGTGTGGGGCCAGTTTTTGGACCACCCTAGCGTTGCTCTTGATCATCTTCCTTCTCTCGCGATCGACTACACAGCGATCACCTTCTGATCAAGCTTACGCACTTCCAAGTCCATAGGTGAAATTCTGACATGAGTACCGAGTATTCCGAATGCACAACACACACCCGTACCCTTGATTTTATATAACCCTCGCCATGTTGTTCATTCCAAGTTCAATCCGTGCGCCCATCCATGGCCTGTCCGATTAACCGGTCTAGCAATTGACGTTTTTACCATTCGATCACCGTATTTTCTTCATCGACTCTCCCAATTACAAGTTGTTCAAGATCGAGCTCAGTCCTATCTAGCTATTTGGCGCTTTCGAAACCCCGATCCGCAATCTGGAGAGCGGTTCATTCATCTCATTTTCTCAGCTTTTCAATTCGAAGAGCCCCGCGAAACCCTAAAATTCCTCACTCTAATGAACCTGGGTTCTGTTCCTCTCAATGCCTCAAGGTGTTGATATAAACGTTGTTAGTTGGCAGGATGTTCCGACGCATGCTTGAGCTGCATTTGCGTTGGACGATTGGCCGAGTTAGCATCAAAATACCTTAAACCACCGACTTAGTAATTTTGACACGGTTTAAGGTATTTTGACGTCACAAGTATTTCAATGCTCTATTCCGTTGTGCCAACAACCTTAAGAAATGAGAATAATATTCAACATGTAAACAAATTGTGGATTGATTTTCTATAAAAGGAATACCCATGTTATAAGAAATAGACGGTATTCTTCTTAGACTTGTGTTCATATTTTTAATTGATATTTTTATCATGGTTACGTGATGGGAACGTCAATTGCATGTGCGTGATTCTTGTAGCAAATGTATGACTAATTAAAAACCAAAGAAAATGCTTATAAAATAGTTAAGATTCTATGTATGTTTGTGGAATCAATAATGTCTTGGTTTTAGATGTTCATATTATATTTATACATACATACATACATACATACATACATACACACATTTGTAGTCACTTGATGTAATTAATCTTTTTTCTTTTTGTAAATAACACAGACTCAAAAATAGCATAAATTTTAGATTATTTTTAAAATATTTACAATGACTCAAAATGTGTGTGTATTCACATTCAATGGCAAGACAGATGCCCATTAAATAATCTAAGATTGTAGGAGTTATATACTTTTTTAAACTCTTTCTTTTCTTTTTCTTTTCTTTTTTAATAACATGAAAAGCACCACTTCTGACGTCTTCCCTTTTCTTTTTTTAGACTTTGTGTTGCTTTATATTGTATTATTTTAAGATTTTCCTAAGTGTTTCTTCTAATCCATTCTCCAAGATGTTTGTAGATTTTGGTGCTTTCTAAATTTTATTAGTTGGTGTGGTTAAGAGCGTTTTTTATTCAGTGGAATAGGGTTTTCTTTTACTATTAATCATTGCATTTTGTGTTGATATTAAGATTTGACATTTTATAAAATAAAATAGAAACCAACTTTTCAAAACATATATCTTGGAAAGGTCTGCAATAACTTTCATTTGAGAAGAACTATTTGTTGCACTGGTGTTTGAAATAACTTTTTTCAAAATTTAAACATTTAAACAAACATGCTTAGCATTCATTTTTATGTTATAAAAATAAATCCAAGTTTCAATATCCAAAAAAAAAAAAAAAAAAAAAAAAAAAAGTTATCTGAGATAAGTCGTTTTTACTTTTCTTTTTCTTTTTAACTAAGAGAAAGTTTATTTCCAAAATGGTTTTCATACAGATACATTATATTGCACCATACTGTCATGTTTACCAAACTAATAAATGCTGGAATTGAAGCTTTTTTTTTCTTTTTTTATTTTATTTTCAGTTGTGTATTCATTTACCAAATGGTCTACAAATAATGATAGTGAAATTTTACCACAATAATAAAATCGCCCAATACTGAAGAACAGCATGGGGTTCTCGTGGGTTTTTGGGCCTGCGTGCTGTGCCGATTACTGGAACACATTGAAGTCAGTTCCTGAGGCTGTCGTTAGTTGGTGAGCAACTAAATTGCTCTGCGCTGCACTAATCAGTCTCGTTAAAATGGGGATAGACTGAGTGGAATCTAGGGCAACGAAAAGTGGAACAGAGAAAAACGAAAATAGAAAGACAGAAAATATTTATCACTGCCACCTTCAATTTTTATTGGGTAAGAGAAGGTGTATACGAGACTTGTTGAGTGGAAAAAGAAAAGAAAGAAACCAGGAGGAGCAATCGTTTCATTAATTGGTTCTTAAATTTGAAATGGACTGGTGATATGAACAAAAAACAAACCGTAAAAAACTTCATCAATTACAGTGTAGATAGAATACTTGTAGTGGTAATTTGATGTTCCAATAAGGCTCCAGTTGGAACATAAAATTAACTGATGAACTTAACTGAAGAACACCCTTGATTAGACAAATAAAGAGAGCAGTAAACATGTTCACTTAAACACACACTCACTATTCCAACACAATCATCGAATCATTAGTCAGAGCCGCACTCTTGGGGACTTGCAGGCAGGCAGGGAGGGAGGGAGGGAGAGAGGGAGGGCGGTGGTGACGATGATGGGGATGGAATTGAAAGCTGGGTTTAAGGAGAAGGGTTCCGTTGGCGGCTGCCATATCCGTCGTAGCCTCGATGATTTGGCGGAGATATGGTGGATCTACTTCGGTGTAGGCAACTACGGATTTAATGGGGCTCCGTCTGCACAGAGTGAAACTGGCTGGCTGGCTGGCTTCGCAGGAGCCACAACAGTCTGAAGATGAAGAAGAATGTTTCCAAGCTTGTTTGGAGCTCCACCGTCATTGCCTTCCTCGCAAGGCTCTCTGATGAGGCTACGAGGGCTCCAAGCTCAATTTTGGACCTACGTTCGAGTCACGGCTTTAGGCCCTCGTTCCCTAAACCCTAAGCCCTAAAAATCTCACGGTGAAATTGATCAGGGTGGACCCCATTCCCGGAGGCCAGTATTGAATTCGTGCATGAGTGACAATTTCCACAGTGAAGTTACAGTTGAAGGATGAATGAAATAATACGGGTTTTGGACGGATTGGGACGGATGAGAAACAGTCGGTTCAACTGAATTTTGGACTATGTGGTGTCATTGAGATCCTTTAGGGGCCCATCCTCGCAATTTGTTTTACGTTGGGTCAAATTTTGTAATTTTGGATCATTGTGGGTCGTGCATCTATACATTAGAGTGTCGCTAAAATTTGAACTTTTGAAAGTGTAGATTAAAGTGAAATATGTGTAAATGTGTTATAAACTAATTTGATAAACTTACAAATAGTAATGATAATGTTGAATCAAATGAGTTTGTTATTGTGTGTGCATATATGTACACACACATTTGGCATAGTAATTTGAAAAATAGACGTGAATTTATAATATGAACCTATCATAGTTTTATACTTATCTTGTTTGTTGATGTTCTTCAGTAGCACACACATCATTTACATACTGTAGTGTACACAAAGATAATTTTAATATATATATTAAATGGCTTCTGGTATACTATTCACCTACAATATTGTTGCAACCTTTGATAGTATTATTGTTAAAGTTTTAGCAGTTATCATTCACATCTCATGTCTTTGTAAGATCATCATTCAATAAAAAATTAAAAAATTACAATAATTTACAAATATAAATATGAAAATTACCAACTTAAGACAGTATATTTTTCCCACCACTTAAATGATCCCATGGTTCCTCATGGTCATTGAGTGGTTGCTTTTGATACAACAACAACCAAGTGGAGATAATCTAGAATATGGTACAGTATTAATCGAAGAATCATTTAAAAGTGATAAACCATACATAAATACATGAACATACACACAGGTTTAAATGAATATAAAATGTAAGTATATTTCCTTAAATCAATATTTAGATAGGCATTAAAAAAAAATGTTGTTTGAAATTGAAATTTGATTCTTCATGATTTATTTTGAAAAGAAAATTATGTATTTTATAATATTTGATTTGAAAAACTGCAGCAACTTAATACATATCTGTGAAATTTGTGAGTTTTTCTTCTCTGAAGCATGTATCTAAAACAATTTGGAAACAATCATTTGTAGTATATTAAGAATATAACCGAAATTTATAGTAGAAAAATATATCATATGGAATCTTAAAATTTAAAGGATATATATAGGCACTCACTTAATTGTTTAAAGATCCATGTGAATATGCAGCATAACTTCTTTGTGCAGTATTAGTGCAACATTTTAATTTATAAAATTTCCAAATTTTTGTTAAGGTGCTTATCTAGGATACATTAAAATGTCAAAACTAATCACAACAATAAAAATAAAACCCACAGTACAATCATAAAGATCATACATTCAAATGTAAACAATCTGGTCAGCAATGACCCTAAATCAATAATGAATGGTAGGTTGTCATTGTGAGGTTGTTGCTTCCAATACCAGTTGTGAAAAAGTTTGGACATATTTTGTAAATTATGGAAATTTTAATGTGGCATGTTTAAATCAATTATGGTTATAGCAGACGAATCATGTAAATAGATAGAACATTTACAGAATCATTCAATGTGAGATGGTTTTAACATGAAGTCCGTTTGACATAAGGAAGGTAGTGAATTATGGATTCTAGAAACAAACATCAAAAATTAAAATTCATGCGCTTTACACCATAATGCAATTGCTAACAACACTGTTTTCAAAAATCAGGAAAGATATCAATGAATACTGTCAATTCTATATAGAATAAATCACATAATTTTTTTGAGTGTTATTGAAAAAGGAACATGTAACTTTTAAACATATTAACTAATTTTTGCTTTTTAAACTTTCATTTCTTAAAATACAAGGTACAAAGATAGTTGATTGTGGTTATAATTGTGTGGCCCATACTAAAAAGAACAACCTCATGGATCATTTAGATTCTGTTTTGGATGACTTCAAATCTGACCTTGAAATGATGCAGTCATTTGCTTCTAGAAGAGATAATCATCTGGTATGGAAAAATAAAATAAAATAAATTAAGAATCATTTGTAGATAGCATTTCAACACAGGCAATGATTCAAAAGTCATTCATGCAAAAAGATTTAAAGGTCATTCCCCACACATTTCAAAAAAATGATGAGAGGTAGAAGAAATATCCTCCATGAGATCACGGTCATGCACTTTGCCACGATCACTTGAAGAAACCTTGTTGTTTGATTGTGCAACAATTCTTTGTAACTTCACTTAAAATCTAAAATCTCAAAAATCACAACGTTTTAAAGGACCCAACTCACCAGTAATTTATTATTTTCTTTAAATTGTTTTTGAAGAAAAGAACTGAATTCTATCACTTGCTTCTTCCTTATATATATATATATATATATATATATTGGGGAATGTTAAATAGACCCATGCTTTTACTAAATATACCACCCTTAATAAAGAATATGATAATCACAATGAATGTGGTTGGTTTTTATTGGTTACAAATCTAATAATGGAGAAATGAATCCAGAAATCATTTTTTTTCATGATGGTTAAGATGGGTGGGTTGATTTAGTAAAAACTTGGGTCTATTTAACATTCCCCTACATATGTATATGTATTAGTACATATACATATACATATACACACATATATATATAAACAGAAGAGGCAAGTCCTCTTGCATTCAAGGAAGTAACCTGACACATTCAGTGATAGAAACCCTAAAAACATTGATGTGATTTAGTTCGGCATATAAGAATCAGCAAACTTCAAAGCACTCTCCAGATCTCTACAGCCAGCCAGAATCATATTTTCTGAAGAGATACATATTAAATGAGGAAGCCCCTATTCACACGGCGGAATAAAAGTATGGCTCGAGTTGAACACGTGGTGGGTCGGAAAAACGGAATCTAAGCACACGGAGATAGGAAGCATACGGGCATGGGTGCATCTTCTCCTGCTGCACGGGCATGGGCGTATATCATCGTATCACCGTGTGCTGCCAACAAGTAATGGTGGCTAGATGAACTGTTCCAACCGCATGCTCCCGATGCATTCAAGTCCCTACCCATGACCACTTCCAATACCATCTTATGCATGCTTTTCGAATACGTATTCCACATTCATATAATACAGGTTTAAATATTGATACGTCCACAAAGTGTTGAGGGGTACGAGAGCGTGGCCGCAGGTGCTGCAATATAGCGGTGAGACATCCATCGTCACTGGGCAATGGTGGGAAAAGATCTGGAAAAGCCTGATGCTGCGGCAGCGCAGAGGATTTCACATGCGAATCCTGCTGTGCAAGGGCTCAGGAGAGATTGAAGCTTGACTAAGGGACTGGGGCACTGAGCGAGGAACCACCACTTTGGTCCAGCGGACAAAAGAAGCATCGATTTATCACTTGGTTTAAATTAAATTAAATTTTTATTTTGGTTACTCTGCATCTGTTTTTGGTGTAGGGGCGACTGCCGGGTCCACTTGCGGCAGATGACTTCACATTCACTACGAGCCTGTCTCGTTGGAATCTAATTGCGACTCGTACTCTCTCTAGTTTTTTCCGTCTTTCGTCTAACGATTAATATGTACTACTCCCATAAAGACGACCAGATTGCACTGGGATTTTGTGCATGCACAGCCTGCAGAGCAGGCACGCTATCATGGATGCTCCATTTTCTATGAAGGTGCGAGATCCAAGAAGGATCTTGGCCGGAAAATTTTAACCACGAACAGAAGGCTTGCCAGCCGGAGCAGGATTCGCGACGTTGAATGATATGACAATAATGTTAGCGATGTACATGAGCATGCGTGGTTAAATACGGACTGGCCTGGTCACGACGCAAGGCGGTGTGACTCAAGGATGCCTCGGCGGTCGGCCAGTAACAGAGGTTAGACGCTGCGGAGTCCCCTGAGAAGAAATCCTGGCGAAAGGAGAGGATTTATTTCAGATGGACATGTAAGAAAGGAACGCTTCTTTCATTACGCTAATTCACTGTATATCTTCATCGCAGAATAATATAATGATTCGAGAACTAAGATGCTATGACGGAGTTTGCAGTTGTCATTCATTTTCCTTACATGTTGAGACCCCTACATATATTGTTCTTGTCTGCTCGATCCAGGTCGGACAATGGTTACTCGCAGCAGTGCCGATGGCATGTAAACGCCGTGTTACTCTGAATGCCATGACAAAATCGGTTTGGTAGATAATCCCCCATGGAGATTGTGGTAGTAGTAGTCTTCGCACTCACCAGTCAGAGTTTCTTAGTTGGATCAAATTATTGCAGAGTTTATGTTATTGAAGCTGCACAACTATTCTCTGCCGCAGATGTTAAGGTCGAAGTCTGAGTGGTGAACAGAGCTCGAAGCTTCGACAATACTCTTTCACGAATGAGCTACTATGTATCGCCTGACTTCTACGGAGTGAATCATCAACGTGAGGAGCGAGGAACGTGCGCGACGGCTTAACAAAGTTCCGTGGATACAAACGGACGTTGGCAGATGTTGCACGGGGTATGATGCACGACGTCAAAGTTCCTCACCATCATAGGAAACTTGAAATCATCGAGCGATGAGACTTTGTTAGAATTCATTTGGTGGTGTACGATGTCGGTAGGGAGAGTTGCCAGAAGCACATTTTGCTGGATCGACTGAGTAGCACGAGGTATTCTGGAATTTGTAGTGTCTGAAGTTCACTCAACCACCCTGACTTTCGCAATCACATATGAATGACTTTTTAAAGGAGGGTGGGATGTGTGTGCACTCGAGTGAGATCGTAGTGGCACTTTTTATGCTTCATTTTACATCAGCTGGCGAGAAGTGAAGTACCTCTTCGGAAAAAAGATCAGTAGTGGATGGTCACCATGGTTCTACTTCCGAAGAAATCTATCCCTGAGCTGATTCATGTTCCAGACAACAGGCTCTTGCTGACCACTTTGGAACCCTATAACACAACTTCGCTGATAGAATTGGCTGGGAAAGAAGTGCATCTGGCACAAATACGGAGGAGAAAGATAGTCCAGAGAGATTCTCGTTGCGAGGCGTCTCAAAGCAATATGATTGGTGCTAGTATTCTTGGAAGCTGGACCTGCATAGCATGGAGCATAGCGAGCTGGACGTTGTTGGTGTGCTTACTACTCCCCAGGACTCGCAAGGGTCAGTATAGCGACGAAAATGCTTATATCTTAACAAATTATGAAGATGGCTCTTGTCTTTCCCACGAACATCGCGACCTGCTGTCATCCCTGCATCTGGACGGTTCTCTCACATTCTCGAATTTGTCGTCAGCTGCAACCGACTTTGGGCTTGTCCGCTTCTCGCTTCCTGGAGCTGTTATATACCCAAAATCGGTTCGGGACGTTCAAGTTGCCGTCCGCGCTGTGCGAAGCTCAAGGGGTTTTGACCTCACACTTGCTGCGAAAGGCCGTGGTCACTCCGTACACGGACAAGCTCAGGTACACGCTCCTTTTCCAGTCTTTGCCTCCGAAAACGCTCAAACCTGATTGTTGCAATCCTAATATTGATTACTTTGTAGCTATGGCCAAGATAATCTCAGTATTCACCTCAACATCGTCATTGGAGCTCACTTAGGCTTATTAAAACCAGCACATGCGCAATTGTTTTTAGCATCTTCTAGTCCAGTCAAAATTTCCCTCGTTAGCGCCACTAATTTCAACAGTGCTGTCGGATGTCTTTGGTTGTCAATATGGCTTAGCAGCGCTTTTGGCATATCTGTATGATCGTGCCTAGCGTAGGGCGGCCAGATTCCCACATTAACACGTACGTTCTTCCAGGTTCAGTATACAGTAGCCCCCTCTACCCACTCAGAAATTGTGTGGGAAAGACAATCAGAATAGAGCAAGTCTGGCTTCCATGGTCTGCCCGAGTATGGTTTACCACTAGTACGGTTTTACGGAAGATTGAGCGGACTCAGCTTTGCGTTCAGTGTGTCTATGGAATGAGGAGTGTGTCTCAATTTTGTACTGTGTATATTCTTTGTTGAGAGTAAATCTGCTGACTGTGCTTGCTCCTCCTGAGTCCTGACCCCTGCAGAGGAGTTCGTCAGGTCATGAACATATCGTGGCCTGTTGAGACGACAAACCAGGTTGCAACGAACTACTCCAGTTAGGGATCATATCATAGCGTGCGGAGAACGTAAAGTACGTGCTTTAGAAAACTAATTCCTGATCGAATTGAGAGCCTCGTCTCTGTTACGACCGGTGAATGCGACCTCACAATCATACTTTCACAGATCTCTCGTACAACTGTTATGCGAGCTGCATTGCTGCAGGCATTACATTGAAACGGAAGGTGGCCAGAATGTCCGGCACGAGGGAATTTCGTAGTTGCTTGTCAACTTCGAGATCTCTCGTACAGACCGCCCCTTTAGAAACCTAGATATGTTGTCAGTTTGACGGAATTATCACTCACCTGTTATGCGTCCCTCGAAAGTATCTTCTAGACTTTCCCGATGGGTCCAAGATGGTTTCTGAACCTCTGTTTCGATCCCTCTCACAAGCTCAGTTTGGAACAGTTGCTTCGGATCTTTGTCAGGAAACTATCGAACCGATTCGGTAGTTACTGAGAAAGAACACGTTGTCTTGAACAGAGTGATGTTCTCTGTACTTTTCCTTAGGATTGAAGAGTGTTAGGCAGTTGATGCGATTGAGTTTTCACCTGCTGTTCACTCACTCTCATCGATGTGTACTTTTCTGGTCAGGCGCTAAATGGAGTAGTCATGGAGATGTCCTCATTGAAGGGCATCAGGGTTGTCCCGCATGGAGAGCCAGGTTATCTGCAACCATTTGTGGATGCTGCTGGTGGAGAATTGTGGATTGATGTCTTGAAAGCTACGCTAAGGGAAGGATTGGCGCCCCGATCGTGGACCGACTATCTGTACCTGAGCATCGGTGGCACTCTGTCAAACGCTGGAGTTGGTGGTCAAACGTTTCTATTCGGACCTGAAATTAGCAACGTCTTGCAGCTCGATGTTGTCACAGGCAAGAATGCTGCTTTATTAATCCTTCTGTGAGGGTTATGTCATGCCTCGTAGTAGTTCCATCATTTTCACTTAGATACCCTCGAAACAAATTCGTTGTTTGTGTCGCTTTGTCAACTTGAATCCTGCATTTTCTATTGGATGAAACATTGAGGTCTTGCTTGAGCTGAGGATGATGAACTGATTGGAAAGCCCTTCGGACGACAGGGACGGGTCAGTCGGTGAAGTGCTCACCTACGCAGAACGCAGACTTGTTTCACGGTGTTCTTGGCGGATTGGGTCAATTTGGAATAATAACAAGCGCGCGTATCATTCTTGAGCCTGCTCACGAGAAGGTATGTTGGAATTGCACGAGAGATGAACGTATTTGAGGATTACTCAGTAACCTTGTCGTAGAAGCTCAATGCTATGAATGGTTGTTGTCCGGTATCGTTATGAACGAATTTTCTTTCGTTTAGATGCCACAGTATAATGTTTCGAGGATAGATGAAAGATATTTCGTACCGACCGACTTCTGCAGGTTAGGTGGATACGAGTGATGTACACCGACTTTGCGGCTTTCACTAGAGATCAAGAAATGCTAGTCTCTCAGCCTCCAGAATCAGCTTTTGACTACATCGAAGGCTTTGTGGTGTTGAAAACTGAGGATTCTATAAATGGATGGAATTCGGTACCTTTTGATTCAAAGAAAATTGACCCCAGCGTGATTCCTGAAGAAGGTGGATCTGTTCTGTACTACATTGAGCTTGTCAAGAATTTCAGCTCAAATGACACGGACACAGTGAACGAGGTAACTTTTCCTTCTCTGTCTCATGGCCGCAGAATCCTCGTAATGATAGTTTTAGTTTCAAGCAAAAAAGGTCCTAAGCAATGATTGTTGCTTAGAATGAGTAGACATTATTTTCATCATCATGACTAATGAATATTATCTGGACAGACAGTGGAGAGAATGTTGGCTCCGTTGAGCTTCATCCCTGCCCTCGTTTTCACCATCGATGTATCTTACGAGAAGTTCCTCAACAGGCTCCATGATGTCGAGGTCAATTTAGATTCACATGGACTCTGGGATATACCCCATCCATGGCTCAATTTGTTCGTGCCACGCTCGTCCATCGCGTCATTCGACGCCCTGATTTTCAAGCATTTGATTAAGAGCGACTTCAATGGGCCAATCCTCATATATCCGCTCAAGAGAGACAAGTAATCTTCTCGTTCTCTTGATCCTTCATTAACATTCACGATATTTCAAGGACAAGTATGCAATATAGAGTGCCTTCACAATTTTGATTTACAGTTCGTGATTCGTTCACCTTGACAGGTGGGACTCACAATCGTCGGCGGTGATACCAGATGAAAGCGTCTTTTACCTTGTTGGCTTTCTTCGCATTTCTCTCCCGTCATCAGGGCCTCCTCTTAGCAGTTTGATCGCTGAGAACGACAAGATTATGGAAGTTTGTCACAATGCAAGTTTAGGGTGCAAGATGTACCTTCCTGAGTACGAAGACACGGAAAGTTGGAAGTTTCATTTCGGCAACCGATGGGAGACATTTTCTCGAAGGAAACACAAATACGATCCAGAATTTATTCTTGCCCCCGGTCAGAATATTTTCCCAAGAATACGAGCTCACGATCACCCTGACAACAAGTTGGCTACGACTGTTGTTTAAACTTTCAGAAAGCCTAGTGAGGAATTTGTTCCATGGACTTGTGGCCACCTGCCTGCAGAGTGCCAAACGCAGATTCAGCAAGGGTAACCTTTTGCTATTTTGATTGGGGCTTCAGATGAGAAGGCAAGAACCAACACCATACTGAGGTTGAAGTTGGCACAAGATTTTTGAAGCCAAACAGGCCGCAAAGGTTCAAGAAAATGTAAAACTTTAGCGGCCCCGCGAGCGAGCTCCTGAATGAAGACCAAATGGGAGAGAAGCGAGTGGCTTCCACAGTATTACCATGAGTGAAGAGAAGTCAGGTTTTAGGGTTCCTCTTCTCTCTTTTTTCTATTGTTGCACCATTCTCATCACAAAGAACAATACGGAACCTGTAAATTAAATGCTGCAGAAAAACCCTTAGATAGAAAACTAGTCAAGCAAAAGGAGAGGGTGGGCCAGATCGCTTGGAGTGATTAAGCTGTTTGGTTCTGCAGATTGTAGTGAGCCATGCACATTAAAACAGCGCTCCAGAATTTTCTCCGATGACGATGTTCGGCATTCGCACCCCCCACTTTACTGCGTTTAGTGGCTTTCATATGTTCTCGTTCAACACTTTTAGAGAGACTTGATACAATCAGATCAAATCTGCCCTACCCGGATTGTGCAGAGTATTACAAAATAATCTTGAATGTCTCAAGCATTGAATGCCCTCATGCCCTAGTCCATGCTCCGAAGGACGAAGGACGTCAAAAATCCACACATAGACATACTTCGATGTGGAGTAACCTAAAACATGGATGTCTGCGAAGCTGGGAAGTTAAGTTATAGGGTTTCAGGTATACTAATATGTTAAAAATTACCTCCGTGTTATCAATGGAGCGCCAGGATATCAGTAAAACAGGCATCGAGGCCAGAATAATTTGTTTTAACGGCTCGAAGGAAGCAATTGAAGGTGAGGAACCAAACTGGGAGAAAAAGCTTCTCTTACACTGCGTATTCTTCTACCATAATTAATAACTATTTTAATGATATCATACCTAGACTGTGAATCGGATACACAGGTGTAACAATTGAAGCAAGTCAATGGTTGCATTTTAGATATAAACCGACACTTGACAACTGTGTTCTATTGTCATGTCATGGATTAAAATTTTCAAAAATAGTAAACGCCTCACAAAAATTAATTAATTAGGATTAAAAAATTGGATGGAATATTTGTCACCTAGCTAAATTTTACAGTTGAGTTGATGGACACATGTACTGTAGTGGAATACCACAAAACAAATGTTGAGCAATTTGGTTTTAACTTGAATAAAAATCATAGAGAATTTTTTTATTGCGCACGAGAAATGTGTATTGATATTATGGATTTTGTTCATTTTAATTTTAAAATTTTGACCCTATTAACTTGCAACTTTTGCATCTATCATTTTGTTTGTATAGACACCAATGGTTCTATTTATCTTATATTAATCAAAATCATAATTTAATAGATTAAGATATGTAAACCACATTTAAAAACAAGAACACAAAAATACATGTCATAGCCATGACCCTATACCACAACTCACTTGCCGGATCAACACACTCCTTAGCAGATTTCAACCTCCATGACCATTGTCATGTTGTCTTAATTAATCAATGTTCTTTGTAAGATCTAAGTTAGCATACAATTAGGCACCCTAACTCGACTTTTGATTCATCTTATATTACCAGTTTTGCTTACCAAAATGGCCTATTTGGACCCCTCATTTTATGTTGGGATTCAACCAAGCAAATTTGGCAGCTGACCTATTTAAAGTTTGAAAATAGATCAAGGATGTTACATTCCTGATATCATTTATTATTTATTTTACTTAATAAAATACTCACACGAGTTTTAGCTATTTTGAAGGAAACTTTAGACAAAACCAATTACTAGATGGTTTGATTAGTCTTTTGCTCCTCTAACCAAGTCTAACAAACAATTTACAGATTAATGTTGATACAAGCCTCCACCAAAGTTTCTTCTTGCTTTGCCTTACTCAAGTATATTTCACTATCTTTTAGGTCCCAATAAGTTTGTACACATTCAAATCTTTCACAAATGATCAAGGCCACTTGATATTGTATTTTTTTAGGAAGATTCTATCTATCAATTTATTTGCACATCAAAAGATTTGCCACCTACATGGTTGCATACATGTTAGACTCCTTAGTCCATATTTCAAGACAAGTTAAATAAAGAGCTCAATACACTAATGTCTCAAGTATGTAGTTTAGACAAGTTCTACGCTCTTGAAGAAGACCACATGCTTCATGCCTTCACCACTTTGGTGGCACATTTACAAACCTATATTATGCTCTTGTCCCACTAAGATAGCTTGCATTGACCATTGGTCCATGTCAAGCAATGGACCAGCTAAAACTATTCTGCATCAAATTAGAGCATATCTATAGTTTCCATATACCTCCCTTCAAATAATTTCAAGTACTATTTAATTCTTTGCAAAAAGCCCTTTTCATCTCAAAAATTGAATATCTATCCAAATTACTTAAAATTAATGCTTAATTTATTCTTAATTTTTTTATTTTTATTTTATTCTTCAATATGTAAAAATAAATCTAGAATCGATATAGATACATGGTTTTGTGCCTTAAGGTCTAATTTTAACCTTAGTTCACAACCAATCTTGTTTGGATATCAATTCTTGGTTTCTTGAGGTAATTTTTGCTACAAAATAGTCTTAAATCTTTCTTCATAATTTCTAAATTATTTTGATTTCTTATCTATTTTATTCTACTTTAATTATGGTTATATAAGATAAATATATATTTTTTTAATATAAAAAAGTAACATTAATACTAAAAAGTTTTACTAGCTCCTTATCTTTTATTCATGTTTTACTAATATGTTTTTTAATTAGCTTTTCTATAATATAATTTATATTTTCATCTTTCATCATTTAGTCATGTTAAAACATAAAATGAAAAAATATGAACTTTATATTTGTTATGTATTTCAAAAACTTAGAGATATAAGACTATATGTTAAGATGAAAAAGTATATATTTCATAGTACTAAAGTTGGCTTTTAAAGATATATCATTTCAAATGACAGTCTTATGATGAATCCTAAGAAGATTGAAACTATCATAGATTGGAAGATTCTAAGAATAGTAAGAAATCTAATCTTTTTTAAGATTTGTCAATTATTATTGAAACTTAATTAAGATTTTTTTTCAAATTAGAATTGTACTTACATGCTTGACATGTGAAGACAAACTTGAATAGAATAAAGAATCTATAAAAATATTTCAAATTCAACTTTAATTTCTATATCAATCTTATATTGTGTTAAATTTTTGAAAGTATTTTTTATAGAAAAAAACGCATCAAACTTTGCTTTAGGTATAATATTGTTACAAATGGGAGCAAACAACAAACTTCATCTAGTAGCTATTTATTCAAAAAAATATTTAGGAGCTAAGATTAACTACAATATCCATGACAAAGAACTTTTATTTGTGGACTCATTTCAAAAATGGTATCATTATTAAGAAGGCACTTCTAGTGTAGTAATTATTTATATACATCACAAGAATCTCTATTACTTTATATCAATATATATATATACTTGGAATTATCAACAATTATGTTGGAGCAAGTTCTTCTTAAAATTTGTATTTAATATCACTCATTGACAAGAAAAATAATAAGATTTGTCAATTTTCCTCTTTAGAAATTATTATTTTATACCCAAAAAAATAAAAAAATAAGAATAAATTGTTTTTTTTTTAAATCAGAGTAATTTTATCTTTAAATAATAAAATCAACATTGATTATTGATTTAACCTTCCTTGACTAAGTTAAATTAAGTATGTCTTCAATTTTTATTTTTTTTATTATTTTATTTTTTGTGATATTAAGAACAATTCTTATTAATTTCATGATGCTTCTAAGTTTAAATTTAAAAATAATCTATTCTATTGCAAATGATGTTTATATATTCCAAAGGTAAAGTATAATTATGAATTCTTTAAGCTTGTCATGATATCAGTACAAGATATTTTAGATACAACTAAATGTTGAAATTAATCTTAATTTTTTTTAATAGACTTAAATATAGAAGGCAATTAAAGTCTATGTACAATCATGTGATCTTTGTTGAAGATCAAAAACTCCTTAATACCTATATTATAGACTTTTCCAACCAATACATATACAAAAATAACTATGATATTTTATTTCTATAAATTTTATGATAAATCTTTTAATATCAAGACTATTTTAATATCAAGACTATGATAATAATAGATTGTTTTATTAAAATGGCACATTTTTTACCATGTACAAAATCAATCACATATGAGCAAACAATTAATTTTTTTCTTGTCAATATTTATTGCTATCATGGATTGCTAGAGAATATTATATTATATAGAGGGATCTAATTTATATTGAGCTTTTGGAGAATTATTTTTAAGATATTAAAAGTAGACATAAAATTATCTTTGATTTTTTATTCATAAATCAATAGACAAAAAAAATGGAATAATAAAATTTTTGAGCAATATTTGAGATCTATAATTAATTACCATCAAGATGGTTCAACAATTCTATTTCTATTGGCAAAGTTTTTTACAATAACATGACACATTTTTCTATTCAATTAACATCTTTCTTTGTTAATTATAAATATTATACAACTTGATTCTTTTGACTTTTTAAAAGTTAATGATCTTATAGCCAAAGGTTTGGCAAATTATTTATTAGAACTAAATGCAATAATGAAGATACAATTAAAAAAAACTCAAGAACATCAAATAATCAATGCATACATTTATTGCAAGAAAAAACCTCAATTCCATATGGATAATAATGTATAGTTTCTTTATTATAATATCAAGACTATTTGTCCTTATCACAAGTTGGAATACCATAGACTTAGACCATTTTCTATTTGTAAACAAATCAATTCAATTATTCATTGATTATATCTATCAAAGTCTATGAAGATTCATCGTGTATTTCATGTATATCTTTTTGAACCATATAAGACAATGAATATCTCAAAAAGACGACACATAACACTTCCTTCAATAAAGAAGATCAAAGCTTTTGATTGACTACATCTATCAAAACAAAGATGAAGAGCCAAAAAATATCTTTGTTATTAAAGAAATAAGATTTAGTGAAGATTATATTCCATCATTTATTATTGATTTTAGTTTCTTTATATTTGTAGCAACAAAGATAGAAGAATCAACAACCAACAAATTTAACTTAAGAACTATCTTTTGTTGAATTATGAGACAAGATATTTTTGTTGTCATAGCTTTCAAAATGATGTAATAGAAATGAAGATCCTTAAAAACAACATATTCTTTTATTAATAGATGGTGAGATATAATGCATTTAATATCACAACCTTAGAAGAAACTATCAATGTTTGGTAATATTATTGGACGTAGGATTCTATCTTGATGTTGTTTCAAATATTTTACTATATTTTTCTATATTATATGATATTTAATATAAAAAATTTAAAATTCTATAAAATTAAATATTTATCTTGGTTAAAAAATATATAAAAATATAAATTTTTTTATTTTTTAATAAAATAATAATAAAAAAATCATAGTTTTTAACTATAATTTTTAAATAAAAATTATAATACTTAATTTTTCTATTATATTCTAAATTCTATATAAATATTTAATTTTAAATAATT